TATTGTTGCATGACCAGAAAAAAGATAAACAACTTCTAGTTCTCAGATAAAGTCAAACACCACTAACAATAGGACAAAGAAGAATACACGCAATGTCTAAAAACAGGAAGCAACATTTAATGCAAGACCAAATGCATTAAATGAAAGGATCAAACTAGCCATGAACGAATATATCTGTTTCAACGGACACTTGCAACGGGAAGCTCTGCGCCAACGGATATATTCAATATCAAGCAACAGGCAAATTTCCACTAGACCATATATATATCACTACTTCAAACCTTAAGAGGTTGGCTTTTGATTAGAAGAAAAAGAGTGATATCAAGCCCACAAGACAGAGACCAAAGATAAGCGTTCTTAGTCATTTGTACAATATAATATTGTATTTGTATCTCTATAAACTAAGGTGTTTTATATGTCAATTATGGACAAACCTTAGTGAGTGTTATAAACCTATGTATCCTCTCGATGAGAGTAATCCAAACACTCAAACACAAGTCTCTTTAAGACTAAGGTAACAAGCCTTAGCGAGTGTAGAAAGTTCCCAATCCTTTTTGTGAGAGTTAACTATACACTCAAACCCAAACACAAGTCTAGCCAATACATTGTAAAGCCTTGAAGAAGCTAGGGAAAGAATACTTGTAAAGCCTAAAAGGGCATGTCAAAGAATACTCATTGCTAGCCAAAAGTGGTTGATAAGAAAATACTAGCGTTGGTGAGCGAAGCCGACGGGCTAGAAGTGGTTGAGAATACTTGGAGAACCAGAAGTGGTTTAAGAATACTAGCGTTGGTGAGTGAAGCTGACGGGCCAAGAGTGGTTAAGAATACTTGGAGAACCAGAAGTGGTTTAAGAATACTAGCGTTGGTGAGTGAAGCTGACAGGCCAGGAGTGGTCGAGAATACTCAAGGCTAGGAGTGGTCGAGAATACTCAGGGCCTGGAGTGGTCGAGAATATTCAGGTCTAGGAGTGGTCAAGAATACTTAGGACCGAGAGTAGTCGAGAATACTCAGGTCCAGGAGTGGACGATAATACTCAATGTTCTTCATTTCATATCTAGTGGAACCCTTCAGTTGAAAGAGACTGGATGTAACTCAGATGAGCGAACCAGTATAAAATGATTACATTCTTTTATTTACTTAAACGCAAATCTTCCTCACCAATTAAACCCTTGTGAAAGACTTCGTCCAATGTTTATATTTCTTTAAAACAACTTTTAGACGAAGACGCTAACTTTGCTTCACAAACTTATTACACTAAAAGTTTCATCTGCTGCTTATCCTTAAATGAAACTATCTTGAAAAGGAAAATACAAGAACCTCAATCATTATTTTTATATGAAACATTTTCCTTCAGCAGATGATAAATCCCTCAAACGCAGTAACCCTGTATTAAGCAAAATATGCATAACCGTTTGATATTCAAAAGGGCACTGGACAAAGAACATTACTCTTGCGAAAACATTTTCAAAATACCATCGTACACACACACATATTCAACCCCCTTCTATGTGTTTTTCATGTCTAACTCCAATACATGTTGTTATTACTAACATGTGCATTAGTGTTTTAGTCGGATAACAAAAAGTTCAAACAATAAAATATGATCAAGCATAATCTGGCTAGAAAAAACATCAGACGATAGAAAGATCAGTATCAAGACTAAGGTTAATTCAGGCACAAATCAAAATACAAAGTCTATCAGCAGAAGTCTGAGGCATCAGACGCAAATTGACCAGACACAAACTAGAAGGCGAAGTTATCACTCCTATACCCAGACGAAAAAGGTAGTCAAGATCAGACGTAGTATAATGTAACCAGACGATGTCAAAAATACTGAAGCATGTCTGAAGTCCACTAATCACATTGAAAGAAATCATACAAGAAACACAAAAGGATATCAACGTGAATAAAAAAAATAGGCAAGCATGCATTCACGTAGTCAAAGATGAGTGCGTCAGAGAAAGGACACCTACTATTCAGAAAAAGACAGCACCGCAACAGCTAAACTGATGAGGAAAGTACAAATATACCTAGATCATGATTGAAGTCAGGTATCGAAGTAATCAACTACACAGAAAGACTCCACAGATACAAGCAAACATTTAATGCAAGATCAAATGCATTAAATGAGAAGATTTTCATGAACATGAATGAAGGTTTCATCTACAACGACACGAAGCTACGCTCCAACGGAAAATTTAAATTCAAACAATGGGCAGATTTATCAAAAGTGTATAAGTATCAAGGCCAAGAAGAAGAAGAGACAAAATTGAGAAACAGAGAAAACGTGCATACGAAATAAAACAAAAATAAATTATCAATATTTAAAATATTTTTTATATGATATCTTTTTTTCCATTGTAGTTTTATAAGCTTACGATCTACGTGAGAGTGTACATCAACATACATGACTACGAATGAATTGTCCCTTCAACAGAAAATGATTCATTTTTTTCCTATATTTCTTTTAAAATTTAAATTTTAATAATTTTAAGTAAATTATATTTTAAAAATAAATTTTTTAATTTCTTAAAAATTAAGTTTATTGATCTAATTAACATTATTAATACAAATAGACTTTTAAATAAGCTAATAGGTTAGATTTTAAAAAGACCAGGCTAAATCTATAAATAAAAAGCTTATGATCAATAACATATCTAATCTTTATTTTTATAGAACAAATTCAAATTTTGAATATAGGCCTAACTTCTATTCTCATCCCTATTCTCAATTAACATTTATAAATATTTTAAAAAAAATTTATGATCAATTAATCAAAATTTAATTATTATTAAAAGAATCAAGTTTTAATTATTATTATTAAGAATCATAATTATCGAGATTTATAATTTATATAAATCATAATTCTTAGACATGAAAAGTTTTTTTATGTTCATAGTGAAATTGAAACGTTTAATAATAGTCAATTCATATAAATCATAATATTTTTTAAAAAATAAAAATGTATAATTTAAGCGGAAGGCATAAAACGGAAATATGATTGGGCTGAAAGTTGTCCCACGATAAGAGAAGCGGCGCCATCTTTAGATGGAGTGGGCCCTCACAGTCATCCAATGGGCTATTTTCACCCATGCTCGCAACTCCTTCTTTCTAAATTCTCAAAAATATTATAATAATAATAATAATTAAATAAAACAAACACAAGCTCTCTCATTCATAATGGGGTGGGCTAAGGCATGGGAAGACAAACATAAACCTAAAATTCAAACCAAAATACAATTATTTTTAAAAATAAATAAAAATAAAAATAATAAAACAACAATAATGGACCTGGACAAAAAGGCAAATGATCAAGCTTCATACGATACAGACCATAGACGTAGACAAAAGCTTCAAGCATCAGATGGAAAAGTCAACAAAGCCAAGCCTAGCACAAAAAGGCAAATGATCAAGCTTCAGACGATACACACCATAGACGTAGACGAAAGCTTCAAGCATCAGATGGAAAAGTCAACGAAGCCAAGCCTAACACAAAAAGGCAAATGATCAAGCTTCAGACGATATAGACCATAGACGTAGACGAAAGCTTTAAGTATTAGATGAAGATAAGTCAAAGCAAAGCATATCACGAGAATCAGACAAAGCAAGTCAAATGATAGATAGAGTAAGACATAAGCGCTAGACGATGATAAATCAAATATCAGACGAAGATAAGTCAAGGTAAATTTCAGCATAAGGATCACACGAAGAGTAAACAAAGCTGAATGATAGATGGAATATGAAATGTGCGCTAGACGATGATAAATCAAATATCAGACGAAGATGAGTCAAGGCAAATCTCAGCATAAGGATCAAACGAAGAGGAAATAAAGCTGAATGATAGATGGAATATGAAATGTGGGCCAGACGATAAAGAATCAAATATCAGCCAAGGTGTGTCAAGCACAACGTAGAGCGCAACATAAGAACTCAGACGAAGGTTAGTCAAAGATCAGAAGAAAGTCAACTAAATAATAGACGAAGGACAACACAAACTAAAAAGTATTCCAGACGGAAACAAAGTCCTTCCATCTACAATGTTGACCAGACCATAGAAAGTCAAAGCATTGAGGACTAATGCTCAGAAGAAGATCAAATCTTGAGATGCACATGGACTATCAGACGTAGACAAAGACTACCATGCAAGTATTTGAAGAACCAAGTCTCAAGGGACAAATCAGGCATCGTCTACATCATACGAAAGCTCTCAAGATGATCGCGTGATTAAAGGAAGAAAAGAAAAAGAAGAAATACAAGCGCAAAAGCAAAAGTATGCATGTGTTAGAAAAAGTATATTACTTTTTCAGATAAAGACAACGCTCTACAGCTACGCGACCGAAAAAGGACAAAAGGTTTCTAGGTCTCAGCTAAAGTCAGACACTTTTGCTAACAAACGTAGAAGACTTCACGCAATGTCTATAAACAGGAAGCAACATTTAATGCAAGATCTAATGCATTAAATAAGAAGATTGAACTAGTCATGAACGACTACATCCTGATTCAACGGACACTTGCAACGGGAAAATTTTATAAGACTATATATATGTCATAACTTCAAACCTGGAAAGGTTGGCATTGGCGTTGACAAAGAATGATATCAAGCCCATGAAGTAATGAAACCAAAGACAGAGTGTATACAATCAAATGTACAAATTTTGTATTTATCTTTGTAGACTAAGGAGTTCTAAGTGTAACTTAGGAACATGTACCTCAGTGAGTGTAGAAATATTTGTATCCTCTTTGTGAGAGTAAACCAAACACTCAAACCAAATCATTTATCAATCATCTATAAAGCCTAAAGAGGCTAGGGAAAGAATACTTGTAAAAGCCTGGAAAGGCTTGTCAAAGAATACTCACTACGAGCTAGAAGTGACTGAACAAAGAATATTAACTGAACAGTTCCAATAAGATTTCATTCTTGAACACAAATCCATTTTGGAGTTTATCTCATCTATTCCATGACCGGAACAGGGGGGGATACACGTTAAACCACGCGCCAAAACCCTAGATCTCACTCCGTCAAGCCCGAGGGCCGCTTTCCGGGCTTCCGCTTCCAACCCCGTCAAGCCCGAGGACCGGTTTCCGGGCTTCCGCTTCCAGCTCCGTCCATCGGCGTCTCCGCCGTTAAATTTTTCACTGTAACAGCTGGTTAATCCTTTTCCCCTCCTTATTCATTCTCTTTGGCTCAAAATTTCGTATTTCTCTGTGTTTTAACGATTCTCGAAATAAATTCTGCTATGCAGAAATAAAATTAAAAAAAAAATAACAGAGCGTGATTTCACTGAATTTAATTAATTTTTTATTTACATGATTCCTATGTTGTTATCCATAGGATTTTCCCTAATCTGAGATATTGGCTAGATCGATCCCTGTGTTGCGTCTATTGATGTAATTTCTTGTTTTATTTATTTATTTTAATTTGTACTTTCTGTTCTATCCATTAAATTATTGAAGAACATGTATAGTAATTTTCATGTGAGTTCTGTTGATAGTGCTTCTACGAATCGTTTAGTATGATTTTCGTTGTTAGTGAATTACAACTCAGGCAATTCGCTTTAGCTGTTCCTCATAAGGAATAGTGAAAGGACAACACTATAATAATGTACAAGTCTGGGTTCCCTTTAGGGAGATCTCTATACTTATAAATGTTATTATAATATATGAAAAATGTTTTAATGTTTTAATGTTTTAATGTTTTAATGTTTTAATGTTTTAATGTTTTAAAAATAAAATAACATAGAAAAGAGGGAGAAAAGATAAGCAAATAGTTTTTAATAGTTGGGTAATATTTTATTCATGAAATGTAAAATTTACAAATGGTAATGTTTGAGTGGTATAGAATATTTCAGATGTTCTTATTTTGATTGAGCTTGGGCCTACCCAACTCATTTGTTGGCCCAATTATTATTTGGATATGTTGACAGTGCCAGGCTTAATGGACTAATGTAATTGAAATGTTTGTGTTGGTCTGAATCCTGTGTATTTTGCATTTATACCTGATGCAATAAACATATGACTGTTTTCTTCTGATCTGTAGTACTTTATCCATAATATGTGTATCTGGAAAACGTTTCTTGATTGTAATTCACTGTTAACTATTAATAATTAGTATCTTTTTCTTCCAGGTGTGAAGCAGGATGGTTGATACCCTCGAAGAAGACAAAGAGGCTGTGACTCCTGATGTGAAAAAGGATCCAGTTGGTACTGATGCTCTACACAGCAATGATCTTGCAGAGTCTGAAACACTGCCAGACAGTAGTTTGGAAAAGTCTGAGTCTGAGCCGAACAAAGATTTGTCCAATTTGGAAACACAACATAACAAGGAACTTCCTGCTTCTGAAACACTGCCTACTAATGGTGAAGAAGCAGTAACATTACCCAACCAACATTTGGGCAACTCTGAAGAACCTGCAAATGACCATCCAGAGAATTGTGAATCATTAACCAGCAACCAGCCAGATGATGCTGAGGCCTCACAGAGCAGTCAGATAGTTAATTCTGAGGCGCCACCCACCATTCAGTCAACCAACTCTGAAGCTTTATCTGACAGTCAGTTGGTTAGTTCTGAAGCACCTCTTCATAAAACGGCTTCTCAACCCAGTAACCAGCAGGTGAATAGTGAGGCATTACCAGACCATGCCATGTATAATTCTGAAACACAGACTAGTAATGATGTGGATATATCTGAAACACAGCAGAGTAGTGAGATCGTTATGTCTGAACCTGTGCAAGGCAATGAGGGTATCGAGCACGAAATTCAGCAAAGCAATGAGGTGGTCATGTCTGAGAGACAGCCCAACAATGACACCAACATGCCTACAACTCAGACATGCAATGATGTGGTCATGTCAGAACCTCTGCCTGAAAATGAGTTGGCCAATCCCACAACAGATTCCAACAATCAGCTCTCCCATTCAGAAACTGGTCCTGATAATCACTTCACAAATCTACATATGATTCCTGAAGATCAGCTGCCTCAACCTGAATCACTACCTCATTCAGAACCGCTACCCAATTCTGAACCACTAGCAGATACTCATCTCACAGACATCAAAGTAATATATCATGATCATCTGACCCATTATGAAACACTGCCAAACAACCATGCAAACCAGTCTGAGGCATTATCATACAATCAGCTATCTAACTCTGAAGCATTGTCCCATGATCAGCTGGTCAATTCCCAAATCCTGCCTCATTATGAGCTCGAAAATAGTGAAACAATGCACCACAATCAGATGGTTAATTCTCAACCAAACTATGAATTGACCATTTCTGATGCCATACCCAGCTACGAGATAATAAATGCTGAGACACCGCTGAGCAATGAGGATCGTATCCCAGAAACACAGCCTACTAAGCGGAGGAAAAAGAAGTCTATAGTCTGGGAACACTTCACAATAGAAACAGTCAGTCCTGGATGTAGAAGGGCACGCTGCAAGCAATGCGCTCAAACTTTTGCCTACAGTACAGGTTCAAAAGTTGCTGGCACCAGCCATCTCAAACGTCACATAGCCAAGGGGACCTGCTCAGCTCTTCTACGCAACCATGACCATAATCAATTGACCCCATATACTGCACGAACTAGGGGAAGTGGGACTGGAAATGCTAGTGATACACCTAAAAGACGATATAGATCCCCGAGTACCCCTTACATCATTTTTGATCAAGATAAATGCCGTCATGAGATTGCTAGAATGATCATTATGCATGATTACCCCCTTCACATGGTTGAGCATCCGGGATTTGTTGCATTTGTTCAAAATCTGCAACCTCAGTTCAAAATGGTGACCTTTAATTCTATCCAAGGAGATTGTGTTGCAACATACCTGATGGAAAAACAACACATTTTAAAGTATATTGAGGGATTACCTGGACGTGTTTGTTTGACACTGGACATCTGGACATCAAGTCAATCTTTAGGTTATGTATTTATTACAGGACATTTTGTTGATCATGATTGGAAGTTGCAAAGGCGAATTCTCAATGTTGTAATGGAACCATATCCTGATTCAGATTCTGCTCTCAGCCATGCTGTAGCTGTTTGCCTTTCTGATTGGGGGTTGGAGGGTAGACTTTTTTCTGTCACTTGTAATCAGGCACTGAGTAATGCTGCCCTTGAAAATCTCAGATCTTTACTCTCTGTGAAGAATCCACTTATCCTCAATGGTCAGTTGCTAGTTGGTAATTGCATTGCCCGTACTTTAAGCAGTGTTGCGAAGGACTTGTTGGGCTCTGCAGAAGACTTGATCACGAAAATCCGTGATAGTGTAAAATATGTGAAGACTTCAGAATCACACGAGGAAAAATTCTTGGAGCTGAAGCAGCATCTTCAGGTTCCCAGTGAAAGGAGCCTTTTTATTGATGACGAAGTCCAATGGAATACATCGTATGAAATGCTTGTTGCAGCTTCTGAGTTGAAGGAAGTTTTTTCTTGTTTGGACACTTCTGATCCTGATTACAAGGGAGCCCCATCTATGCAGGACTGGAAGCTGGTTGAGATCTTGTGTAGCTACTTGAAGCCACTTTTTGATGCAGCAAACATTCTTACTACAACAACTCATCCCACTGCTATTACCTTCTTTCATGAAGTTTGGAAATTGCAGTTAGATGCAACTCGTGCAGTTACGAGTGAAGACCCCTTCATTAGCAGGCTTAATAAAATTATGCAGGAAAAGATTGATAAGTATTGGAGAGAGTGTAGTCTGGTGTTGGCGCTTGCAGTAGTGATGGACCCTCGTTTCAAGATGAAGCTTGTGGAGTTCAGTTTCACAAAAATCTACGGCGATGATGCTCATGTGTATATAAAGACTGTGGATGATGGAATTCACGAGCTGTTTCATGAGTATGTGGCCCTCCTTCCGCTGCCACTAACGCCGGCCTATGCTGAAGATGGGGTTGCTGGAAGTCACAGTAAGATGGAGGAATCCCCAGTGTTGACAGATAATGGTCTTACAGATTTTGATGCCTACATCAAGGAAACTACTAGCCAACATATGAAGTCTGAGTTAGATCAGTATCTTGAAGAATCGTTGTTGCCACGCGTGCCAGAATTTGACGTCTTGGGTTGGTGGAAGCTAAACAAACTCAAGTACCCTACTCTTTCCAAGATGGCTAGGGATATATTATCTGTTCCGGTTTCTACGGTTGCTCCTGACTCTGTGTTTTATTCAAAAAGCAAAGAGATGGATCGGTATCGAATTTCCTTGCGGCCAGAGACTGTGGAGGCCCTTGTATGTGCTAAGGACTGGATGCAGTATGGAACACCTGAAGCGTCTAATGCGCTTGTGCAAATGATATTTTAGATTCTTATACCTTGTATTATATATATGTAGTTGGTGCATTTTTATTTGAATTCTCCATTAGAGTACAGTACGTTAATTTGGATGATTCAACGCGTAAATGTAGTTTCTACAATAGCTTCAGTCTTACATTATAATTCTTGTGAATGTGCCTTTGGATTACATTTGATAGCTTTAATGTTAGTTGCTCAAATTATAGCAATGATTTCTCCATTGCTTGATCCTGTCTTTTGGTGGAAGGTGATGAGGAACATAACATGGGAATGTGTTATGTGGATATCTAATTAGTAGTGGCAGATAATTGGATTGGGCTTCACTGCGCTTGAGAACCAGCAATATATTAAGGCAATTGATTAACACGCGCCCCAATTTTTTTTATATCATTTTTGTTGAAAATTAGATTCCAGAAGTTTAACACTTGAGGAAACTAAATTTCATAAGTGGTAAACATTTGCCTGCCTCTGCCACGTAGTAGCTATTTAAGTTTTCCATGCCCAGCGTCTTTAGTTGTCGTGTCGTCTTGTTTCACAGTAACATGCATGAATTCATGTAAAATCAAAATATAATGAGATTTTACTTTTAACTCCCTCTGCATATACTTGGAAATTGGTTCAACCCGGTGTTTTAAAATTCAGTTTAGTCTCGGACCGTGACTTGGACATATACTCAGTTTGAGCTAAGAATTAAATCGAATATGTAAGTAATTTGGTGATGATGTCATCAAGCCTCGTGCTTTTGATTAAATTTTTATAGTAAAATGTTTTTATGGTGTATTTTTTCATAAAAAAGTATAAAGATAATTTTAAATCTGATAGGACCTAAACTGATTATTTAATAATTTAGTAACTAATTTTTATTTACTATAACATTTTAGTGGTTATTAAATTAATATGATTTGTTGTTATACAATTGATTGAATAATATATATATATATATATATATATATATATATTATGTTTTTAATTTAAAATTAAATATTTAATTATATATTATTTTATGCAGTTCAAGCAATTTATAATTTGATTGTTTTGCTAGTATTAAATTGCCTAAATTTTTTCGAGATTTCCTTAAGACTTGATATGAATTTTAAGATC